GGCCATCCTCGCCCTTGGGGCCACGTGCGCTGACCCCACTGAAGTGCCCTCCACCGCCCCCCCCTTGGGCTTCATCTCTTCCTCTCAGCCTGAGGAGGCAGCCAGGCACTGGCAGGTGGCATGGCCAGGGTCCCACGGAGGTTGGGGCAGGGCCCCGGGGTGGTGTCTTCTCAGCACCTCCAGGGCACCGGCCACAAGAAGCCTCCTTCTGCAGGAAGCCTCTCTGGCCTGCTCCTTACCCACCACGGTCTTACAAGCTAACTCAAATGAGAGCAGGTCCCCTGTGAGTCATTTCCTTGGCCCACCCTCTCAGGGAGCCTGCGCCATCGGGAGGCTGTCTCAGGTTGCAGCCGATGTTGTTCTGACACCTCTTCGAGGCTGGCTCGCTTCCTTTCTAAAAACAAGTCGTGGGAACACACACACCCAGTAACATGGACCATCTTCAGTGTCCAGGTCGGTGGCACGAAGCGCAGGCACACCGTTGTACAGCCTCCGCCCAGAACCGCTCATCTCTCAAAACTGAAACCCTGTCCTCAGGAAGCGCTGGCTCCCATCCCCCACCCCCCAGCCCTGAGGACTGCCAAGTACTTTCGGTCTCTATGAACTTGACTGCCTAGGTCTCCCAGTGCCTGCGTGGAGTCAGCCCTCCCTGGGTCTAGACAGGAAGGGCTCCGGCCTGGGGCTCCTGGCCGGTCTGGCCTTGTCCTGCCTGCAGCCCCATACACCTGGGTGCTCCCCTTCTCTTTGGGGCTGAAATGCTGGTATTCCAACTGGGCTTCCAAACAAACAGATGGAAGTGGGAAACATAATTTGACCTGAAAGGTTGAAGGCAGAGAGGCCGTCAGACAGAGGAGAAGGTGGGAGGTGGGGAAGCCGGGTCCGGAGCTCAGAGGGAGGCACCTTGTGCTCAGCCCTCTGTGTCCCCGATACCAGCCCCACAGGGGCCTCAGCTAAAGAATGTGCCCACCACTCCGCGAGCCACCTCCTCAGCGTTCTGGGAAAGGCTGTGGGTGCCTCTCACCTTTGCCCCCTCTGCATTTGCAGGTCTGCTTCTTTAGTCATCAAACCTGGCCGGCCAGCCCCGGGGCTACGCTCTGGGAAAGGCTCAGGCCTCCAGGCCTGGGTCACGCCCAGCCGGTCTCCTCCTCCAGGTCTCTCTCCTCTCCTGCCTGATCCTTAATCCTGCCCCTCCCTCATCCAAGACCCTGCCCCGCAAACAGGCTTCGGGGGTCTTAGCGGCAGACATCTATAGAAGCAGAGACAAGGGGTGCAGCCTCTGCACCCGTAGGCATTGGAGAAGGGCTGCCAGGCCGATTGACAAGTGTATCCCTAGGTGACTGAGGAGTGACGCTGGGGAAGTAGGGGCTCTGGGGAATGGTGCCAATGACCCCTCCTGGCACCCCCTGACCCACGCCTATAACCAAGGGCGCACACGGGTTCAGAGGTCTAAGGTTGAGGGTCACCATCCTGTCATTCACTCATGGTTCTCTGGGTGGCAAGCAAGGAGAACTCCAACCCAAACAGGCCAAATAAATACATGGAAATATTTCATTGGCTCCAACATCTGGAAACTTCCTAGTAATGGGGTCCTGAGCTTAAGTGCAACTCAACCAATCAGAAGCCAGCTTCCCTCCAAGGCAGGTCACCCTGAGTGGCAAGATGGCCTCCTGATCCCAGGCTCACTTCCTGTCTGCTTAGCAACACCGAAGGATTTTCATTGGCCCAGTTTTGGTCATGTGCCTACCTCTTCTGAACCAATGGCAGGGTCAGGAATGTGGTGCTCTGATTGGACAAGATCCCTGCCCATCAAAGTGCACAGACTGGTGCCCAAAGGAAACTGAGACCCTGACCAGCAGGGCGGTGCCAAGGCCTCCTTTCTCCAACACCCCCAACCCCACACATCATGTCTCCTATTTGTGCCTGTTTTCAGAAAACCCAAAAATAGGGACATTCACATGGGGGCTGGGCTGTCTCGTGTTTTAGCCCGTGTGGCAGGAGTAGCTTGCCCCGTGGCTCACTCCGGCGCAGGCAGTTTGGCCCCTCTGCCTGGGGTATTCCAGCCTGCAGCCTTCCGAGGCCCCCTCCATGGGCTCGGCCGGGCAGCAGCCGTGGTTCCGCTCTGTGTGACAGCAAGGCCCCGCTGGCTCCACTCCCAGCCCGGCCCGCGCCTGCTGCGACTGACCCTGTCAGACAGCATTGCTCCTTGGCTCTGTTCGGTGACTTCAGGAGCCCTTGAAGGTTATGACACACCAGTTGCCTAGGAAAGTGTGCCCAAGGGGCTGACGCTGTCGGTGGGCCACTGCCTGGGCTGTCTTGGTGTCCCAGGTTAAGGGACCCTATTTGAGAAGGACTTCCCCCATGAGCTGACCTCTCCTTAAGCCTTGTATCCTGGCTCTGGTCCTGACCCTTCCAATATCATTAGGGCCTCACCAATCAGATCAAGAACTAAAACAGGTGTAGCAAGTACCCAGAAGGTCCCCTGGCCCCCTGCTGGCCATTGTCCCCCCACCCAGAGGTAGTTCTGATCACTGTCACCACATTTTTGCCTTTTATGAAACTTCAATGAAACGGAAGCTCACAGTAATGTGCTTTCGTGTCAGGCTGCTTGCTCAGCATTATGTCTGAGACCCATTCACACTGCTGCCGTTCCTGTGGGGTTTCCGTCTTCTTACTGTGTCCTATACCATTGAACAAATATATCATGTGTGTTTCTCCATTGCACCAGCGGATGAGCGCGTCGGCCAGGATACGAAACGTCTGGAACTCTCTCTTTGCTCGTGGGAGTGTAAACTGCCCCAACCGCTGAGGAAAACTCTGTCCCACCTGTCACTGTCACCACTGTCACGCATGGAGCACTAACCGTGTGCCAGGCCCTGGACTAAGTGATTCATCTGCGTCATTTCACTTAGTCCCCCCAATCACCCTAGGAGGTAGACGGTTGCCCTTGGGAAATAGGACAGTCCTGGCACTAATATTATGAGATTATTGCCACCTTTCACTGAGATAGCATTTGGAAGGATTTAGCCCACAGCTGCCATTTTGGGAATCCTGGTTTATGGTACCTGTTATCTTTGTTACCAAAGGGCGTGGGGCTGGGAGCTCAGGAACCTGGGTTCCAAGCCTGCCTAACACAACCTGAGCAAGTCACCTTGGCAACCTTGACTTCAGAGCCCCCGAACGGTCAGTGGGCAGCAGTGGCCTCATGGAGGGGGTGCAAATTACACTCTTCAGCAAGACCCCAACTCTAACTTCACGAAGACCATGTAGACAAAATAAATTTTAAAAAAAGAAAACAAGCCCTGGCTGGTGTGGCTCAGTGGATCGAGCGCTGCCAGCCGGCAAACCAGAAGGTCACTAATTCAATTCCCAGTCAGGGCACATGGCTGGATTATGGGCCAGGTCCCCGGGGGGGGCATGGGAGAGGCAACCACGCATTGATGTTTCTCTCCCTTTCTTTCTGTCTTCCTTCCCCTCTCTCTAAAAATAAGTAAATAAAATCTAAAAAAAACCAAACAATGAAAAAATAAGATCATGGGGGTGGGGGGTGCAGGGGGGACACAGAAGTGAGAGTGTGTCAGGGCTTCGGGAGTGTTTGGGAGCCTCTGCTGCAGCTTCTAGAAGCTGAGTGCTGAAGGTCCTTTCAAGCTACGATTGCTCTCTACCTGTCTCTCTCACTAGCCGGTAAGCTCCTCCAAAGTTGGGCCCCTGTGTTTTTCAAGGACTCATTCACAAATAGAATTTAAGTGCTTCCCTTCCTTCAGGCACTGGGCCAAGACCTGAGAGATACCTCAGTGAGCCAGACAGAGGAGGAAGGGACAGAGACACCAAACAAGGCAATTAGCGAGGAGCAAGGAACGCAGGACAGCAAGGGCTGTGAACGAGCCAGCTGGGCGGTGAGGTGGAGAGAACTCTTGGGCAGAGGGTGCTCCAGAGTGAAGGGCTGCTGGGACCTTGACATTCTCAAGAAGGAAGGGAGCCCAAGGGGGCCAGAACAGGTGACACCAGGCCCCGTGGCTCTGAGCTGAGAAAGGACAGAGGGTGACTGGAACTGTGAGGGGAGGGCATTGAAGGGGAGGGCATTGAAGGGAAGGCTTGAAAGGGGCTGATTGCCACTTCCTGTGGAGTCCTGGAGGCCTATGGCTGATGGGAAATTCTCAATGCTTTTGGCCGGACAGGGCCACGCGGGATCCCGGGTTGGCGAGGCCTTCTGATGCTCAAGCGTTGGTGGATAGAGTCACACTTTGAAGGTGCTGGACTATGAGTCCGATGAATGAATGAATGCATGCATGTGTATGCATGGATGGGCGGACGTGTGTCCAGAAACAACAGCTGATCCACAGGGGCCCCAGACCCAAAGGCTTGCTGAAGGCCCGGGTTATAGGCCTAGCAACCTGAGGCTGTGACCTTGGGCACATCCCCGCCCCAACTCAGGGCCCGGAACCCTGCGTCTCGGGGGCGGGGAGGACGTGCAAGGAGGGACAGTGCGTGCGCAGGGCAGGCGGGTTGACTGCAGGTCCTTCAGCTCAACCCCCAGGCGAAACTATGGCCCCACCTGGCCGGACCGCTGTCATGTCTGAACCCTTGTCGCCCACCGTGTTTACATTCCCCCAGGGCTGGCCACGCGGCTTTTCACCGCGTCTGCCCGGAACGGCCCCGCCCTCCGCGGCGCGCGCCAGCCAGCCTCCCGCGCCCAGCCCCGCGCAGGCCCTGTCACTGGGCCCCGCCCCTCCGGCGCGCAGGCCCTGTCACTTAGCCCCGCCCGTCTTACTGGCTCCGCCCCCGGCGCGCAGACGCCGCCACTTAACCCCGCCCCGCCAACTCCGGTTCTGCCCCCGACCCCGCCCCCGATGTGGCCCCGCCCCCAGCGGTCCGGCTTCTCGGCCAGTCCGCGCGGCCGGGGGCGGTGCTGAACACCGCGCCGGGCAGTCCGGGCGCTCTTCGGGGCGGGGCCGAGGGTGGCGGGAGGGTGCGGGGGCGGGCCGGGGGCCGGTTCCGCGCGCTGAGATTTTTAAATGTCCCGCTCTTCGCCGGGCGCAGGAGCAGCCGGCTCGACCGCCAGCACGGTGTAGGGGGCAGGCGCGGATCCCGCCACCGCCGCGCGCTCGCCGCCGCTGCCGCCCGGCTCCCGGCCTCCGGCTCGCCCCTCCGCCCGCCTGCCTCCGGCCTCCGCGCGTGCTGCCTGCCTGTCGCGACCCGGCTTCGGGTGAGGCCCCGCGCGGCTGCGAACGGCGCGGCGGGCGAGGACTCCCGGGTCCGGCCAGCCCGGGTGGGGTGGGGTGGGGGTGGGGCGAGGCCGGGTCTCTGGGTCCCCGGGGGCGTCAACGCGGGGTGCCCGGGCAGGGTCTCTCAGAGGGGAGCAGAGGAGGTGTTGAGGGGAAGACTGAGGCAGCCCGGGCCCCGAGGGTGTCGATGGGCTGGCAGAGCTTTCGGAGGACGTCGGAGCCCCCCCAACCCCGGGTTCGGACCCGGTATCGCGGGCTGTTGGCAGCGCCGTGGGTGACAAGCCACCCCGGGCCCATCGGCCATTTTCCCGACCGGGCCGGGAGGCTCCCGCCGCTGCCGCGCGGGAGGGGGAGGGGTGTTCGGGGAGGGCCGGCAGGCCCGGGTCCCTTCCGCGGATCGTGCTCACCCCATGACCCACTTTGTGCCCCTCAGGCCTCAGGTCTGACTCTGCGCCCCACGCCATGCCGAGGGAGAGAAGTGAGAGGTGAGTGGCCTGGCCCCTGTGGGGAAGGGAGTGTGTGTGGCGGTGGGGGAGGGGTGGCCCGCACCCGGGACAACTCGCCCTCACCTCTGTGCCACCCTGGCTTTGCAGGGATGCCAAAGAGCCAGACGGCATGAAGGAGGAGAGCGGCGCCGATGTCTCTGCTCACTCCAGGAAGAGGAAGGCAAATGTGGCCGTTGTGAGTACAAAGGAGACAGGTGGGGACGCATGGGCCCCCCATCTTACCTGGGTGCCCTTAGGGCTCTGCCCAGGTAGTTACTGATGGAGCTTGTGAAGGGCTGTGTGCGTTCGCGGAGGCCGTTCATAACCTAACCAGCTCTCTTTTTCTCTGTGTGTTTTGTCTGTGGGCTGCTTGGCGTTGGGGATTGTCGGATGTCAGTTTTTGCAAGATCCAGATGAAGAAATTGACAAAATCGACAAGCCCCCGAGAATGGAGAGCGGCAGTCAGGTGGGCTCATTTGCTGCTTGGGCCTGAGTGGGGGCTGCCTGCCCCATGGGTCTGTGGGGTCTTGTCCTGTGTGGCCACTTGCGGAAGGCTTTTTCTCTGTGGCCATGGTCCTGCGGCTGAGCACTGTGCCTGTTCGGGAGTGCGGACCTCTGCCAGCCTTGGGTGTTGAAATACGTGCTCATATCTGGGGGAGTGGGAATGGACGGGAAGTAACTCTCTCCTTTCCTTCTGTCCTTGAAGAAACTGAGCCTCAGGGAAGAGACTCAGTGGCCTGGGGCAGAGTCTGGCCTCCAGCCTCCTCTTTGGGCTGCTGAACCTGGGGGGGGGGGGGCAGACACACAGCTCCCTGGGTGACTAGGGGGAGGAAGGCCTGTGTGTGTGCACAGATGGCTCCCCCCACTCATACGTGGGTTTTCGCCTCACGGAGCTGCAGGCCTTCCCTTAAGGGCCTTTAGATCAGGTTCAAAACTTGAACCCCGCTTCCTGAAGCTCTTCCAGCCCACCCAGCTGTGGCCTATGGTGGCCGCTGCCTGAGGCTCCCCCGGCCTCAGCCCAAGTGCCAGTGGGCCGTGCTGTGTGACGATATGTGTGCCCCCACACACTTCTTTTCCGACTAGCCCAGGTCTCCCGCCCTCCTTCATGGACTTCCCGCCACATTTCCTGCGTGCTCCCGATAACATTATAATATCAGAAGTGTGTGGCAGAAAAGCCCGTATTATCTCTCCACCTCCAGAGGCGGCTGCAGACTGTAGTTACGGCTGCAGCAAGGAGGCTGCCTGTCTCCAGACTAGAAGGCCAGGCCTTCCGACGCTCTGCCAGGTGAACTTGGGCGGGGTCGGCATCCGAGCCCAGGGCCGCAGCCCCGATGCAGGGACAGCGGGCAGCGCACACCTCCCGTAGGGCCGTGAGCAGCAGCCGCAGGCCACATCACCTGCCGTCACAAGGGAGGGCCTGGCGATGAGCATTTCTGGGCCCATGCCACTGAATATCGAGCAGGGGTATGTGACTCCTTTCTCTATTTGAGAAGAAATATTTCACTTGAGAACAGGAAATAAGTACATCCCACGTTCTTTCCTTTTCTTTTTCTCCCCTTACAATCGATCACCAAACCAAGCAACGCTGACTTTGGCGCGTCTCTCTACTTTGTGAAATTCAAGTTCGGTTACTTTCTCGGCTGTGCTTGCAGTGAGTTTCCAATGGAGGACGAGGCAGAGGTCGTGTTTCTAGGAGTGTCTGATTTGAAGGGTTGTTGGGGCGGTGCCTAGGGTGCCCCAGATGGGTCGGTGGCCCCGTCCCCCGCTGAGGAGGGTTGAGACGTGTGATGTATGAATGGCCATATTACTCCACTGGAGGGCCTTCTCTGGTTCTCCAGAGATCACCGGTGACATGTTTGTGTGCGTTCAGTGGGGTAGATGGCTGGGATGTCACCTGCTCTTTCTACTCTGTGTCAACTCGTGAAGGTAGGATTTGGGGGTGACACAGAGCCCTTTTGCCTGTTAGTTACACAGACTTACATGTTACCCTAGCGGGGCCCAGCACAGCAGCCGCCACGCCGACCTCCGTGCAGCTGCTCCACCGGGGGCCGCACGGGGCCTGTCCCTGTCACCTGGGCCTCAGGGGGAACGGACGTCACCTGACTGAAGTCCATTTGACAGGTCCCCGTTGTGTGGGATGCAACTTTCTTGCAGAAGCGGCAGCCTGGACTTCCGTTAGTTCTCGGAACTAATAAGATAGTTCTGCCGACTGTAAGGGGTGCGGGGAGCTGGGTCGTCAGCAACGGGCAGGGTTGGGCGCTTGCCACCCTCTTGCTTCTCCCTGAAGGCAGGCCGGTCACACCTGCTCGGAAAGAGTGTCTCAGTCCCGGGACCGAGGCCAGTCTGTCCCCACAGACTTTCATGTCACCTGTGCCTGTGGCTCGACTGGGTTCCCACTGGGCAGATTCTTCTTGATCTGTTTTGAGTGGAGGGAAACGAAAAGTCCCTGTTACGTGACATGTTTGGCTGGTTCCACAGCCCAAGGAAGATGTCACGTCGATGTGACCTGCCGTTCAAAGCGGGGAAGCAGTCGTGGGTGGTGATTCACACTTTTGAACTTTTATTCTTGTGAACGGAGAGTGCTTATGTGAGCACTTTTATTGGGAATTCTGCCTTCTGCTTCTAAGAAGTTCTTAAATTTTATTTTTTAAATGTTTTATTTCTTTTCAGAGAGAGGGGAAGGGAGAGCGAAAGAGAGGGACAGAAATACAATGTGTGGTTGCCTCTTGCATGCCACCTACTGGGGACCTGGCCCACAACCCAGGCATGTGCCCTGACTGGGAATCAAACCGGCAACCTTTCAGTCCTCAGGCTGGCGCTCAATCCACTGAGCCACACCAGCCAGGGCTAAGGAAGTTTTGGAGCTGAGTTGTAGTTGTTAAAGTACAAACCATGACTGAGCAATGCCCCGGCGCACTACAGTTGTGCCCAGTGTCTTGCCGAGCTCCACGTGGACCTGTGCTCTGGTTTTGGTGACAACATGAGAGCCGTTCGCAGTGGGCAGTGTCTCGTCCCTCCTGCACCCCGGTGCCGCTCCTGCCTCGTGGGAGAATGATGAGCAGGGGTGGAATGCTTCTGCCCTCGGCGTTTTCTCAGACGCTGACTCACATTCGAGGACGCTCCAACGGCAGTGGAATGAAAGCTCAGGGTCCTTCCTGTGGCTCTTCCTCACTCGAGTGTCTCCGCCCCACTTCGGCCTGGCGGTGGCTCTCTGGGGTGAAGACACGCCTTGAGTTACTGGCTCTTCTACAAATCACTGAACATGCAAGTAGCTGGTTTCCATCAACATTGAAAAACATGTTTTTCATTTTTAGCCTTGGGATGACCGTGCAGCTTCTGAGAACCCATGCTCCCTGATCCCCACGCCAGACAAGGAAGAGGACGAGCTGGGGTACCCGAGCTCTGCGCACAAGTCCCCCATCGCCAGGCCAGCCCGAGCCACCCCCCTGCCTGTGCTGAAGTGAGCCCCTGCCCCCGCCTCTCGCCCCAGCCATCAGCGCCAGGGGCGCATGCTGACCCCTGTCTATTGCTTTGTTGCCTGGTGGTGTTTTCTGCAGCTGGGCAAACCGAGAGGAGGTTTGGAAGATCATGCTGAACAAAGAGAAGACGTACCTGAGGGACGAGCACTTTCTGCAGCGGCACCCTCTCCTGCAGCCGAAAATGCGAGCAATCCTTCTGGACTGGCTGATGGAGGTGAGCTGGTCTCCCTGGCAGCCGGCAGCAGAGCCCTTCCCAGAGCCTTTGCGCTGCTCCGATCTCCATGGGTTTGGTCCCAACGGCACATTTCGAGTCTCAGAAGCTACAGTCACACTACCACGGTCTTGCTTTTCCTTGCCTTTTCCTTGCATGCCTCCTTGAAAGAATTTCCGAAGTCTTTTACCCACTAGATGTTTCTAAGTTGGTATCTGTTTTTTTCCTTCACAGTTTTCCAGCTTTTACACCTTTGGGAAAGGGCTGAGGATTAGGCAGTGGGAGGAAGCAAAGTTCGGAGGGGATTACAGGAGAGTTAAGGTTGTGTGCTCTCTTGAGGATTAAGAGCCCCGCCCCGCCTTGAGGGGAATCACTTCTGGCATCTCCAAGGTGTGTCAACCTAGACACACAGAGACAAGGGACAGGGCTGCCTTAGAACCTTGGTACAGGAGTGACGGGCCAGGGGCGTGGCTACCCACCGTGACCTGCCCTGTCATAACGGGTGATCAGATGGCCCTGGGAGGTTCTTTCCTTCAGCCCCCTTTGTGCCCACAGCTCCCCCGTGGTCCCAAATCGGTCTGATGGGTGTGTCAGTGACCGAGCTTTGGGTCGGGTCGTGTGGTCTCAGCGCTAGGAAGGCTCGTTCCTAGGAGTCTCAGTCTTTTCATTGTCCTGTTGGCCACAGGGGATGGGGCAATTTGGTGACCATGAGACCTGAGGTGGGGCAGAAGGACGGCAGGAGGCAGGGAGGCCTCAGGGTCGTCCTAGTGACAGCCCTGGTGGTCCCTGCCCTGTGACCCATCACGGCCGGAGTCCTGCCTTCCGCCTCATCTCTGTGCTCAGGTCTAGTGCGACGGGCGTCTGACCCTCGGCAGGGTGTCTGTCGTTGCGAAGATGGTCTTTTCAGTGAACCGGGGATGGTGGTGTTTGGTCTTTGTTGGTTGAACTGCTTTCGGCACGTCCACTGGGGTGCAGGTCACCCTGTTTCACAGCCACTACCACCGTCATGTTTATTTTTTTAATGATCTTGTTAGTTCACTTATAGAGAGAGGGGAAGGGAGGGAGAAGGACATTGAGGTGTGAGAGACCCAGCGATTGGTTGCCTCCCACGTGCCCCCAGCCCGGGACCTGGCCCACAACACAGGCATGTGCCCCGACGGGGACTCAAACTGGCGACTTCAGTTCGTAGGCCAGCGCTCCACCCACTGAGCCACAGCAGCCAGGGCTGTGACATTTGTAGCACTATTTGTCTTGCATGATTTGTGTGGATCACAAATAGTGTATGTCAGGGGTGTCAAAGTCATTGTCACCGGGGGTCACGTCAGCCTCAAGGTGGCCTACAAAGGGCCGAATGTGACTATAGGACTCTGTAAATGTAACTACTGCTTAACTAGGGGCCAGGAGCCCGGCGCTGCTGCCGGGCAGAAACGAGGTGGAGGTGGGATTTGGCCCAAGGGCCTTATATTTGCTACCGGTGCCTTACAGTCTCCGCGGCACAGGGACGGCGGTGTTAAGAGGACCATCAGGGAGGGGACGCACACAGACAGCACTGTCCTGTGTGCTGACAGTGAGTCTGGCGGTGGGCCCGTGTGGTTCAGACCTGCCTGGTCAGTGGTCCACCACCCTTGGGCTGTTGGCCGGGTGTCCGGTGCTGGCTCATCGGTTGTCTCTGGGTGCCCTTCCACTTTGGAACTCCAGGAGGCACTTTGCGGGTCCCCCGTGCGTGTCCGCGTGACAGCCTGGACTCCGCCCGCCTCTGGGACGCGTCCATAGGCAGCTTGGCCACCGGGGATGCAGAGTTGGGGTACGTTGCAGCCTCTGGTAGGTGCACATTCGGGCCTTTCCACGTGGTTCCTGATGTCGCCCCGCGTCGTGTGTTCCCTGAGCCGTGATGAAACTTACAGGGGCAGCACTTGAGGAAGATTCTGGTTTTCCGTGACAGGCCATGCTGTGCGAACACTCGTCCTGAAGGTGTCACAGGGCAGGGCGGACGAGGGGACTGTCCCTTCGAAAACCCGGCTTCTCTCTCCCTTCACCGATGTCGCCCTGTACCAGACACGGGACGCGTCCTTTTCTTCCCATTCTCCTCAAGCGACCCAAGTTCTGAAACTGTGTTCCTGCAGGTGTGCGAGGTGTACAAGCTGCACAGAGAGACCTTCTACCTGGCGCAGGACTTCTTCGACCGCTACATGGCGACACAGCAGGACATTGTGAAGACACTCCTGCAGCTGGTTGGCATCTCATCCCTGTTCATCGCTGCCAAGCTCGAGGTGTGTGGGGTGGGAGGACATGGGGGGGTCGGCTCTCTACTGCCGATGCCGACCCTACGTTGGTCTCACCAGAGTCCCGCCAAAGTGAAGAGACTCCAGGAGGAAAAAGGCTAAAAGTTAACCGAGAGCGAAAAGCATGAGTGTGTGAAATGCCGAGGTCATTGCAGGGACTTGGAGCAAAAATATTAAACTTGGCCTGAGAGGATTGAAATGTTGGCGTGATGGGAAGGGTGGGTAGGCCCAGCTTCCAAAGCTGTTGCTGAAGGTCTTTTGAAAGGTGAAAGTTTCAAAGGCGTGCCCAGGAAGTGCAAGTCTGAGTGAGGGCGTGAGCGCGGGCGTGACGGGAGAGGGCCACGGTTCCACACCGCGGGGACCCCGGCAGCAGCTCCAGGGTTTCTCCCGTCAACAGCGCGCCCCCTCTCCGGGCCGGCACGCTGGGAAGGACGGCTCCGGGTGTTCGTTACAGGTTCGGGGGGGCGGGGTGGTGGGGTGGGGAATGGGCTTTTGCTAGCGGTTTCTTCCGTCCCCTCCCTGTAGGAGATCTACCCCCCCAAGCTGCACCAGTTTGCCTACGTCACAGATGGGGCCTGTTCGGGAGACGACATTCTCACCATGGAGCTGATCATCATGAAGGTGGGCCACAGGTCCTCTCCCGGCTGCGTGTCACCTTCCGCAGCCTGCTGAGCCTGGGTCCCTGGGCCCGGGCTGCGTTTTGGAGGACAGATGGGGGAGCGAGACGTCTTCACTTTCCCAACCACGGGTCTCTCCCTGTCTCCTGCAGGCTCTTAAGTGGCATTTAAGCCCCCTGACCATCGTGTCCTGGCTGAACGTGTACATGCAGGTGGCCTACCTGAATGACCTGTACGAGGTGCTCCTGCCTCAGTATCCCCAGCAGGTCTTCATCCAGATTGTGGAGGTCAGTGCCGGGGACGGGGCGCCCGCCCCACCCGCAGCCCAGGGCCCGACCCAGGGGGTGTTGGCGGACTGCTCACGCCCCGTTTCTCCCCATAGCTTTTGGATCTCTGCGTCCTGGACATCGGCTGCTTAGAGTTTTCCTACGGCGTCCTGGCCGCTTCCGCGCTGTACCACTTCTCCTCGTGCGAGCTGATGCAGAAGGTCTCCGGTAGGTGGTGTCCTGGGGCGTCCCTGGCGCGGGGCTCGAGGGCAGGGCTGGTGCCAGTGGAGCCTGGCACGGGCGTGCCCTGTCACGAGTGTCCCCTGCAGGGTTCCAGTGGAGTGACGTGGAGAAGTGCGTCAAGTGGATGGTGCCCTTCGCCATGGTCATCAAGGAGACGGGCAGCTCCAAGCTGAAGCAGTTCCGGGGTGTTCCTGCCGAAGACGCCCACAACATCCAGACTCACCTGGGCAGCTTGGACCTGCTGGTCAGTCTTGGCCCCCCACACACCCCGAGTCAGGCTCCGTGCCCCCTGCCCCTTCAGGAAGGAGTGTTGTGCTCAGTGTGTGTGCCTCTGCGTGTGGTGTGGCGCGGCGCAGACCTCTAGATTGTTCTTTGCTGTTCCCCCCTCCCTCGGGAGAGCAAAGCACACAGTGAGTCGTGCCCGAAGGATACTCTTCCACCCTCACACTCCTCACTCTCCCAACCCACAGGACAAAGCCCAGGCGAAGAAAGCCGTGTTGTCCGAGCAAAACAGGGTTTCTCCTCCCCCGTCCGGGCTCCTCACCCCGCCGCCAAGCGGCAAGAAGCAGAGCGGCGACCAGGACGCAGCGTGACACTCCAGCCTCTTCACCAAAGACAGTCGTGCCCAGCCGCTCGCTCCCGTCCCTGCGGGCCTGCACCTGGGCGCCACCTCCGCCGCCCAGACTGGACCCGGGGAGCGTCCTCCCCCAAAGCACAGGTGCTCTGTGGTTGTCGTGGGGCAGGGAGAGGCGTTCCCACGACATGCTCACGTTTTTTTCCTGAGTGGGTCAAGTGCACCAGCCACCTCCAGACGCCGGTGCGTGCTCCCGATGCTGCTACGGAGGGTGCTGCTTGGCCTGACGGACACTGAGGCCGGGGCCGAGGGGCGCATGGTGCTGCCGGCCTCCCCACGGGTGTGCTGGGTGCGTGGTGCCATGTGGGGTAGGTGTGAGCGCCGGGCCGCCCTCCGCACTCTCAGTTGACAGTGTCCGACGCCTTCTATGAACTGTTGTTTCCGAGTGCTGCTACGTCTGTCTGTTTTTAATAAAGGTAACTGTCCTCGAGACAGCTGGTTTCATGAGCCACGTCTGGTCACTCAAGTTAGAAGTCAGCTCTGTGGCCCGTTCTCGATTTTAACTGCCTGCTTCCCGAAGCTCACGCTTCCCTGCAAGGGCGCTTCAGAGGGAACTTGGGGACAGCTCAGGTTGCTGCCTCACTTGCTCCCTGGGGCCTGGAGCCGGGAGGGGGCTCCCGTCCAGCCCATCTCCCACGGGTCCGAGAGGGCCTCCCCCACCCTAGAGTTCGGTCAGGAGGCCTTCACGCGGCAGCCAGCAACCACCGTGAAGGAGAAAACGCCGAGTGAGGTGCCTGCAGCCCAAGGCCATGATGCGGGACATGCTCTGACCATGACCCCAGTGGAGTCGCCCGTGTCTGGCTCCTGGGGGACGTCACTGTCCCTCGAAGGCCTGCAGTGCACGGTCACATTGTGTGTGTGACACACTCAACGTGAGGGCCGCGCCCAGTCTTGAGTTCCTGGGCCTCACAGCACCTTGGCAAATGCACGGGTTCGTCAGAGGGAGGGTGAATAGGCAAATAAACTTACTTTCAACTTGATGTTTTATCTCATTCTGTAAAACATTCTCTGAAGTCCTAAGAAAAAACACCATTTTAAGTGTGTCATAATTACACGGAGTGGGAGAGCAAGCATACTTCTTCACACTGGTGTTTTGGTTCTGGCAAGTTCCAGCTCGGCTTCCTGATAAGAGCGTCCCGAGTGTCCAGGTGACGCCAGGCAACCGCTATCGCACACCTGCCCCGCGGCGTCCCCCACGCAGACAGCTGCCCCCAAAAGGAGCAAGTTGTTGATGGTGGTCCCTTGCAAGTGACTTGCAAAAAAATCCTAAAAGTGGCTCATTTACATGAGACATTTTCTGTGCAAAAAGATGACGCTAAAAATATTTCCAGAGTTTCAGAAGTCGGAGAGCTTGACGAATGTGAGGTCACAGGGGCTGGAGAACATGTCTGAGGGACCCTAAGTGATTGGTCGTTTGCTGAGCTGTTCCCTTGCAGGTCTCACGGAACACGACGGGATGGGCCGGCCTTGAATAACTGTTGCTATGGGCAGCTGTCAATCACTTGTGCCAGTAAAGGGTAAGTCCTGACGGGTAAGCTCCATTTACAGTGATCAGTTATTTTCTGTGGCTCTGCCAGGAGCCCTAGAGCCCTTGGTACATCAGGGTGGTTCCCCTCCCCAAGGGGCTTCCTCCAAACTCGAGCCCCTCTCGGGGTGGCCCGGCAGGCCCATTTGCCAAGTCATTCTTGTTCTGGGATACAGCTGGACCTGCCTGAGGCCGGGCAACCCTGAGCGGGCACTGGGGTAGCAACAGTAGTTCAGGTCCCCCTGGGTGGACAAATGCTCCGAGGTGCATTCCTGAGTAGGAGGGACACAGAGACAGCATCAGTGGCGGAGGCTGCTTGGGTCCCTCCTGGTGCTGCAGAGAAACAGCTCACTGATCACCGTGGTGATGAGTGTCTTCAGCTCACAGAAGTCACCTCTGGACCCCATCTGAGCTGCTCTCATGTTTGTCCCCTGTGCCTGAGAAAGAGAATGATGGTCTCAGGGTGATGGGTGGGAGAGTTACCAGTCCCCCCCCCACCGTGCCCACCATGTGCCGCTCTTTCCCCTCCACGGGGGATAGAAGAGTCTGGGTGTGTGCAGATTTGAGGGTCCACAGATGAGTAAGTCGTGCTGTGGGACCCTTTACAATCTGAACCTTAGGGTGACCTCCCCTTCTGTCCTTGAACTCCCGACACAAATGAGATAGCAGTTTATTTGGGCAAAATTAGGCTCCAGCTCGTACAGGGACGGGAGAGACATCAAATCGGATCACGTCCAGGCAGACTTAGCCAGCTGCGCCCTCCCCTACTGCGTTTTGAAATTCAAATCACATTTCTACCTTGGACATTGTTAGAGGACTATTTTTATCCCCGCTGTAATCATCTAATTTGCTGATTACGGGTCTCAAATTGCCACAGAGAACTCAATTTTTGAAAGAATTGTCCTGTTTGATCAAACACGTTATTCAGGCAATGTGGCCGTTTGTTCCACAAGGGTACCTGCCAGGCAGGGCCGACCGGGAGTAATGGCATTAGAAGCCTGCACTTAAAACCACGCATTAGCTAATCTACCGGCGACAATAGAGTCTTAAATATAATTTGCCGCCGATACTTCAGTTCCTGCGTGGCAGACAATTGCGTTGTAGTGTAGATTTTCCTTCCTCGTCCCAGTTCTGAATTTAACGCCAGAAGACACTCATTCGCAGGCTCTCAGGTTCTGCTTCCCCGGAGCCTCAGACAGGGGGCGATGGTAGCCTTTAATGGGAAAGCAGCCCTGCCGCCGGCTTCTAACCCGTTTTTTCTGATTAGCGCCAACCCCCAACTGTGTAGCGTCTGGCTGTGGTGAGGGGCCAGGCTGCGGTGGGCTTCCGTCGTAAGACACGCATGTAAACGGCCTGTACCTGTGCTGGGCGCTACCTGCAGGGCAGGCTGGGTGCCGTGGGGAAGCTCAGGTGAGCCCAGGACCCAGGTGAGCGGGAAGCGGCACAGGTGGTGGTGTGGGGGTGTGGATGGAGGGTGGGAACAGGCTTCTGCAGCAGGAGAAGGTAGGTATGAAGGAGCGGAGGGTGGAGGGACCCCAGGCAGACGGGGAGCGGGAGACGGAGTCCCTAAGGGCGTTTGCGGTTAGGTGGAAGAGGAGCCCAGGGTCCCGGCAGCAGGGGGCAGTGTTTGTGAGGAGGGGAGTTTGGGCAGATGGGCTCCGCGGCGTTCCTGGGACGAAAGAAAGCCTGGCACGCACAGGTAAAGCCCGTCCGCCTTCCCCGAGCCCACGGTCTTGGGTAGCCCGCAGAGAAGACCACCGCCGAGTCAGGGTGCAGGGTCTCCACACGTCTTCCTAGATTGCAGCACTCCCATGATTATTTGGATCCACAAGCAATGGATTCACAGAAACTACAGTGGGGTTGGGGTGAGGATGGGGGTGGTTACGAGTTCACAGAGACGTGATCAAAGCGTGCCCAGCATCCCACCGCTGGTTCTCTCCCTTCAATGTCCTTTCCCGGGTGTGCCCGCGTCGGTGCCAGCCCGTGGGGCTGCCTCAGTCCCCTCGGCAGGGGAGTTTACTCGGTGGGATGTGCCGCCACTCCCGTAACGCCTCCGGCCGCCGAGCTGCATTACTGCGGTTTTGCAACCACAGGTGGTGCCGTCCCAACACGTGCACATGTGTGCTGCGTGCGTGGCTCTCCCAGACACGTTCCCAGGCACTACACCTCTGCCCCATGGGGTCAGCCAGTCCCCAAATCCTGCCGATTCTGCCCCCACCTGCAGGGGACAGCACCAGCACTGGGCCCTGCCAGCCATGGTGCCCGTGGCAATGGCCACTGTCCCACTGGATGGGCTTTCCTCTGATTGTGAAAATGAGGCGGGTCTGCTGTATGAAGCTAGACAGCTACGAACACAGGAGCAAGTCCCCGGAGACGCCCTGCCTCACGGTTTCGGTGGTGCGACGCTGTCACTGGTACCTTTGTTCTTGACACACAGCAACATGCGGAGACCACTTCTCCACAGGGTGCTCCGTGCAGTGGTGCTCTCTCCCCATGGCTTTAAATGCCGGTAAGCTCCCTCCTTTTCATTGCTATTTTTCAAGACTTTATTTATGTTAGAGAGGAGAAGGGAGAGAGAAAGAGGGGGAGAGAAACACTGATGTGTGAGAGAGATTGACAGATCGGCTGCCTGTCACATGTGCCAACTGGGGACCTGGCTGGCAACCCAGGCATGTGCCCTGACGGGGAATCAAACCAGCGACCTTTGGATTCGCAGACCAGTGCTCAGTCCACTGAGCCAGCCCAGCTGGGGCAGTTTTTGCTGCCCCATTTCTGTGAGCACCTGCCCTCACTCAGCACAGAAGCGCGGGGCCCGGCATGGGACAGGTGCTCAGCGAGGACTCGCTCCGTGAGTGAACGGGCAGCTGGACGGATTCCTACACGAACAGGCACTTTCATTCAATCTCCCACTGTTCCAGAAGGAACGCAGGCCGGGTTCTACTCACAAAAGATCGACATTAAGATGGAAAAGCAAGACGCGAACAGGAGTGGATCAGCCCCCTGTGTCTGTGCTGGTGCCTTTCAGAGGGGAGCTGCCAGCAGATTCCCGTTCCTGCAGGGCGGCGAGGGCGGGCTTCCCCCACATGCCGGGTCCGGCACGATCCATTCCCCCGGACGGATGACCCAGCTAGCAGGGGCCCCCCCTTAGGGGAAAGAAAAATCAGAAATCCAGAGTTAACGTCTTCTGGCACCACGGCCTGGGTGCTGCAGGACCCGACGTCTCCGTGAGAGGCGATGGCCTGGTCTGAAGAACCTGTCCCGGAGCCCTGCCCTCCGTCCCTGCCGGTCTGTCCCCAAGGCTGTGAGGTGCGGGAGGCAGGTCGGTGCTGCCTTCTGTTGTGTTTGGGCTGCACAGGGGCTTTAAGACATGTGACCCCTCCTTTGACACTCAGGAGAGCTCCCACTGGGACACGGCTCCCCGCTCCCTCTCTGTCCCTGGAGCCCTAGCTGATCAGGGCCCAGGTGGGGCCCAGCGTCCTGAGAAAATACTGTTCTGGAACCTGAGAACAGGGTGAGGCCGAGAAATGTCTCGAGGGCACCGGCAGAGGTAGTGAGCCCCCCACCCCCCCCAGACGCCCAGGATGTCCGAACACGTTTACTAATCAGGACACAGCCCTGTGCCAGCCTGGCCCCCGCGGGTGCTTGCTGCAGGTTCCTGGATTTACCAGGGGTCTGTGGGGCTTTCGGCTCATCGCTTACCCACCCGGGGCCTCGGTCCTCCTTAGGCCCGTGGGCAGGGGCCGCTGCACCCGGTGAGCCCAGCCTCGTGGGCGCTAAGGGCTGTTCTGTCTCTGCTCAAACTCTGTCCTCCAGGCGGGGACGAGAGTCGAGCTGGGGCCTTTCCAGGTTTGCAGTCACACCCCGGGGAACCCCCCTGCTTCCTGTCATGCGGAGGTTTCGTTTCTCGAGATGTCAGGGGGGC